AGCCGCACCTTGGCGTTGGCCTCCCGCGCCGCCGTCTCCTTCAGGAACTGATCGATCTGCAGCACCTCCCTGGCACGGGGACCATCGGTGACACCGGGGCTGCCCACGGGTCCCGGCAGCTCTATCCCAACCCTGCTCTGCGCCCCCAGCCCTGTGTGCAGCTGGAACACACCTGAGCACACCTGGGCTGTTCTATCCCCACCCTGCTCAGTCCCTCCAGCCCTGTGTGCAGCTGGGACACTCCTGAGCACACCTGGGCTCTTCTATCCCCACCCCACTCAGCACCTCCAGCCCTGTGCCCAGCTGTGGGACACACCTGAGCACACCTGGGCTGTTCCATCCCCACCCCACTCAGCTCCTCCAGCCCTGTGCCCAGCTGGGACACACCTAAGCACGCCTGGGCACACCTGGGCTGTTCCATCCCAACCCTTCTCAGTGCCTCCAGCCCTGTGTGCAGCTGGAACACACCTGAGCACACCTGGGCTGTTCCATCCCAACCCTGCTCAGCCCTGTGCCCAGCTGGGACACACCCGAGCACACCTGGGCTGTTCCATCCCCAGCCTGGTCCCGGTCTGTGCCGGCCCTGGGATGGGCTGGGGCAGGACAGGGATGGAGGGATGCTCCCATCATGCAGGCGGTGTTGTTGTTTTAGGGGTGAGAGGACATCCCCATCCTCATCCATCACTCCCAGGACTGGAATCAGGCTCCTGAGCACGATGGAGCAGAGGGAAGAGGATGATGACGGTGTGACAGGGTGAGGGAGGAGGATGGCAGTGACACCCTTAAACCCTGCTCAGCCCGGTGGTTGCAGGGCCCCGGCTCCCTCATTAACACATTAATTAGCAGGTGCTCGGGAGTTCTGAGCCTGCAGCAAGGCTGTTTCGCCCAAAATGTGTGACAGCAGCTCTGTGACCCCAGCTGACCCCACCCAGCACAAACACCCACTGTCCTCATCTGCTCCCCAAACACCAGGGGGGCACTTAAGGGCACGGACACACCAGTGAGGCACAAACACCCTGTGTCCTCATCTGCTCCCCAAAAACCAGGGAGGCACACAGGGGCACAGGCACACCAGTGAGGCCACACAGCTCAAACACACGTGGCCTGCACATGGATGTGCTCCAGGAACAGCCAGGTGTGCACCAGGTACACACAACACACACACACAGGGACAGGCACACACACACAGACACAGATAGGGACACATGGATAGGCACACACACACACAGAGCCCTGTCCTGCACACCTGAGTGCCCCACACAGCCCCAGGAGAGCACAAATCCAGCACTCAGCATGGCAAACACAGACACACACACACAGAGCCAGGCAGCATGGGGAGGGTGCAAAGCCCAGGTGCCCAGAGCAGCTGTGGCTGCCCCTGGATCCCTGGCAGTGCCCAAGGCCAGGCTGGACACTGGGGCTAGAGCAGCCTGGGATAGTGGGAGGTGTCCCTGCCATGGCAGCAGTGGCACTGGGTGGGGTTTACAGTCTCTTCCCACCCAACCATCCCACGAGCACCCTCGTGAACACACCCCAGGCACAGCTGCTCACACCTGCACTGCTGGTGGTGCACACACACCCACAGAGCTGCTCACACCTCCCCCTCAGCATCCAGGAAGCCCTGAAGAGGCACAAACCCAGCTTTGCATGCCTGTCTGGGGCACACCTGACTTCGGATACCAGACCAGGCACAACTAGGTTTGACAACCTGAGCACAGAAACCCAAGCACACACACCTGACCTCAGACAGGCACACCTAGACACACCTGGGCACAGAAACCCAAGCACACAGCTGGCCTCGGACACCTGACCAGGCACACCTAGACACACCTGAGCACAGAAACCCAAGCACACACACCTGACCAGGCACACCTAGACACACCTGAGCACAGAAACTCAAGCAACACAGCTGGCCTTGGACACCTGATCACACAGAGGTGACCCCAGAGCCCTGTCTGTGCACACCTGGATACCAAACCTGATCACACACAGCTGACCTCAGACACCTGGACACAATGATCTGCCCAGAAGCACGAAGGGGAAGGAGGGGGCAGCTCTTTATTGACACAATTCCCACTGCTGGCTATCAATTACCAATTAATCACCAATGAATTATCGAATAATTTCTCCCTGACCTGCCGCTTGCAGGCAGAGCCTGGGAGCTCTGGGGGTGCTCTGGGAAGGATCCTGGAAGGGGCCCCAGGGGATTTGGAAGGCAAATGTGGAGCTGGGCAGCAGCTGTAAGGTGATGCTGATGGTTATCACCTGCGTCTCTCTCATTCCCATGGACTGGGTGGAAAAACACTACTGGCAGAGGAAACGGTGCCCAGAGCCAAAGGTCTCCCAGGAGGACATTGGCTTCATGGTGTCTGGGAACTGGGAAATGTCCCCACAGTGTTTCCAGGGAAGGTTTTGCTGATTAAAATTATTTCTGATGACTTCCTCGCATCCAGGAGAAAACCTCCTCCTACCACCAGCGCTTCCCATGCTCTTCTGCAGCCTCACAAGGGATTTTGTCCCTTGGGGTGGAGGAGTTTGGGGACAGGTGAGGGGCAGGAGGGTTTCTCTGAGGAATGGGAGGTCCAGGAGGTGGTTTTGGGGCATAAACCTAGAGTTTTAGGTGGTAACATTGTCCAGGTTCCACCAAGAGACATTTGACCCTCTATTTACCCTGTCTAGCTGTCTCCGGGCCCTGCCCCAGACTCATCCACACTGGTGTCCTTAATTCCCTCACCACACATCCCCAGGGTGCCCCCGGACAGCACCCACGAGGCAGCCCCCAAACCCCTCAGTGCCTGTCCCACAGCCGTACCCCCAAACCCCTCAGTGCCTGTCCCACAGCCGTGCCCCCAAACCCCTCAGTGCCTGTCCCACAAACCATGCCCCCAAACCTGGAGGTGTCTTTATCCAGCCCCTGCAGGTCACCCCGCTCCTCACCCAGGCCATCCCCCCCATCCTGAGAGCCCTGTTCCTGAGCCAGGTCATTATTTTGGAGTCAAAGTCATTCACAAGTGTGCAGAGGATGACGGGAATCAAAGCAATTCCTTCAGGAATCCCAGCAGTGCTCCCAGCCCAGCCCAGCCCAGCCCAGCCGTGCCTGTCCCCCACAAATTCCTCACTGATTTGGGCCCCTCCAGACTTGCTCCAGCTCCTGATTTGCGAGGTCTGGTTGGCTTGGACGGCACCAAGGGGCAGAATGACCCAGTGCTAGACTGGAGGGAAGCTCAGGAGCGGCCTTGGGGTGGGCAGGGGGGTGTTGGGAGGGGAATACAGGGTGGAAATGAGGATGGCAGTGCCACAGGCTGAACAGTAAATGGACATGGCACTGCTCGGGCTGCCCCACGCTCCCTCTGGGAGAAAAACCTGGAATTTGGCATGGCCATGGCAGGGGGTGGAGATTTAAGGTTCCCTCAACCCAAACCAGTCTGTGGCTCACTGATCCCAGCCTGGCCATGTCCTGGGAGCACTGGTGGCACTGGGACAGGGCGTGGCTCGCCATGACCCAGCCATGGAGGGGCCCAGGTCTGTGTGGGCACTGAGTGGTGGAAGAAGATGCAGAACCTGTTAAGGGAGAGTGCTGATGGGCATCACCAAAGGGCTGTCCCTGCCCTGGGGTGGTGATATTGGGCTCCTCTGGACTTACGGAATTGTTTGGATTGGAAGAGACCCCAAAGCTCATCTCATTCCAACCCCACCATGGGCAAGGACAATTTCCACTATTCCCCACTGCTCCAAACCCTGTCCAACCTGGCCTTGAACCCCTCCAGGGATGGGGCAGGCCCAGATTCTCCAGGACTCACTGCCAGGCACTCCTTTCCTCCCACCCCACACCTGGGACAGGGACAAAGCACTCACTGCTGCTTCCGGGTGAGCTCCTGCTCCTTCTGCACCAGGTCCTGCTTGAGGGAGGCCAGCATCTCCACGCTGACGTCCACCTGGCGGGACAGCTCCGAGGCGCGGTCCTCCAGCTCCTGCTTCTCCCGGCTCAGCCGCAGGCTCTCCTGCTTGGCCTTCTCCAGCTCTGAGCTCTTGCGGTCCAGCTCCACCTGCAGCCGGCCCACCTGCGAGGCGATCTTCTGCTCCACCTCCTCCGTCAGTTTCTCCAGCCTCTTGTCCACCTCCAGCTTCTCAANCACCCTGGGACAGGGGGAGGTGTCCCTGCCATGGCAGGGGTGGCACTGGGTGATGTTTAAGGTTTCGTCCAACCCAAACCATTCCAGGGTTCTGTGATTCCACCTTGCTGCTGCTGCTGAGCAGGGAGAGCTCAGCCAGCCTTTGATGCTCAGTGCCACCTCCCAAACCCAGCCCAGATCCCTTTCATCTGGGTGTCAGCAGCCTCCCTGGAACACTCCAGTTCAGCAGGGAGGTGCAGACACCCAGCACTCCCAGTTTGCACAGAGAGGAGTGGGCTGAGCTCCTGAACCACGGGCTGGGCTCCAGGACTGCTGCTCATCCCATGGAGATCCCTCCTTGGCAGAACCTTTCAATTCCTTTCAGCTCAGTGGTGCCCCTCACACTCAGCATGGCCTCCCCAAACCCAATTCCACCCCTGGCAGTGCCCAAGGCCAGGCTGGACAGGGCTGGGAGCAGCCTGGGACAGTGGGAGGTGTCCCTGCCATGGCAGGGGTGGCCCTGGGTGTGTCCCTCCCCACCCAGCCCATTGTGTGTTCCCAGGCCTTACCAGGGATGCAGAGGTGCGACCTGCAGGGAGATGATGTCCCTGCAGCCTGCTCCCAAGGCCCAGATCACCTCATGGCCCACAGGGTCCGTGGAGCTCCTGAAACAACACAGGGGACACATGATGGCCTCAGGAGCAACAGTGCCACCCTGGGCTGGCATCCCCCAGGAGCAGCCAGGGGTACCAGTCTGGGCATTATTTACAGCCTTGGAGCACCCAGGGGTGCCAGTCTGGGCATTATTTACAGCACTGTACACAGGTACCATGCTGGTCAGTATTTACAGCCCAGAAGCTGCCCCTGGAGCAGCCAGCCCAGCAGGACCCTGTGCAGGAGGGCTGGAGCATTCCCACCTGGAATGGTGCAGAGCAGGAGAGGGCTGGGGGGGAGAGGAGGAAAAGGAGGCTGAACATGGAAGGTTCTGGAGATGAAGGGGGGCAGGAGGGATGAAGAGGAGGTTGAATGCAGAGGGTTCTGGAAGTAAAGAGGGGCAGCAGGGAGGAAGAGGAGGTTGAACATGGAAGGTTCTGGAGGTGCACCTTCCATATGCCAAGGTGACAAGTGACTGGCTGAGGCTGCCAGGCTGTGTGTCCGTGCAGGGGACAGAGCCTGTCCCTGTCCCTGCAGTCACACTGCTTTGGTGTCCCTTTCCACCTTCTGGCCAGGATGGGGACAGTGCCAGGGTGGAAGGACACCCCAGCCAGGGGCTGTTCCACGGCCTCTGTCCCTGCTCTGTGGCTGTGGGTGGCTCTTGGCCAAATGTCCCTGCAGGGGTTTGCTGTGGCTCCTCCTTGGTGTCCTTGGAGGTACCAGGAGAAGCCCCCTGGGTGCTGGGTAGGACAGGGGAGGTGTGGGTTTGTCATGAGCTGGGGGGGAGCCCAGATCTGGGGAGAGGTGCCAGAGAGCACCACCCTGATGCCACCAGCCCAAACAGTTCCCAGGCTGTGCCACCACACCAGGAGCCTCCCAGGGACCGAGGCTGTGCTTCCCAAGTCTCAATGTCCCACTTCAGAACTAAAAATAAGGCTGGGTGTTATCTTGGGTGCCTCACACCTCTGTGCTGGAGCAGGTGCCAAGAGCAGCAGGTTAATCAGAGCGTGAGTCACAGGCACAGCTCAGGATGTGCCAGGAGAGCTCAGGCTCGCTCTGCTGCCCTGGGAACAGCCAAAGAAGCAGCCCTGGAACCCAACCTGGCAGCTCTGGGCTCTCTCCTGTCTCATGGTGTGGGTCAGAGCCGGCTCTGGGCTCCTGGGGTCATGCCAGGGGAGTGGCTGGATGTGCTTTCCCACCTGGAGGATTCTCTGTCCTGCCTGCATGAGGAACAGACACCAAGGCTGAGGTGGTTGTCTGCAGGTGCAGCAGAGCCAGGATCAGCCTCTGGAGGGTGGAGGGAAGGCGAATCCTGTCTCCACAGGTGGCCAAAACCAAAGAGTGGCCAGTGATGCCCTCCAGGACCTGTGACCTCCTCTGGGGTCACCATGTCTTGTGTCCTTGACCTCAGGCAGGGTGTCCAAGCTGAATCTCAGCTCTCCCTTGGCAGAGCTGTTCCTCCCTCCCTGGAGAGAGGGACCCTGAGCTCTTCTCTCCACTGGGATCCTCCATCAGGGGTGACAACCAGGTGGGACCTCACTGGGCACCTCCTCCTCACCCTTCTCTGCCACAAAGTGGTGCCTCCTTGCCAAGCCTCCAGCCAGGATGAGATCAGTAATGGAGTGATGGGAATGGAGCTGGAAGCAAACCACCTGCATGAGAGCAGCCTGAAAGGGATGGGAGCTGCAGGGACAGCTGCCACTGGGGACACTGGGGCTGCCATGGACAGGCAGGTCTTTTGCAGCTGGGCAGGTGGGCTGTGCTCTGCCAGGGAAGGGGGCTGATCCCACCCTGGGGTGTCCCCAGCCCTGTCCCTGTGCTCTGCCAGGGAACAGGGTGATCCCAGCATACCCCGTGGGTGCTCTCAGCTCTGTCCCCATGGTGTCGCTAGCCCTGTCCCTGTGGTGTCCCCAGACCTGTCCCGCAGTATCCCCAGCCCTGTCTCCATGGTGTTCCCCAGCCCTATCCCCATGGTATCCCCAGCCCTGTCCTGGGGTGTCTCCAGACCTGTCCCCATGGTGTCCCCAGCCCTGTCCCCATGGGTGCCCCCAGCCCTGTCCCTTGCTGTGGTGGCACTGAGGCCATGCTCACCGGTAGGTGACGGCCTGCAGGGCGCGGCAGTAGCAGCTGGCCAGCCAGAGCGAGCGGTCGGTCAGCACGTTGGGGCAGTGCGAGATGCGCAGGATCAGCAGGTTGCTGCCCGTGGCCTTGAGCAGCGACTCCAGCCCCGCTTCCAGGCAGCCCCTGCCAGCACAGAGCCAGCATCAGGAGCCCTGCCCACCCTCCTGTGACCACCCCAGGAGGGGGACACGGCCTACGGGCACCCCTGGCTCCAGGACACCCCAATCCCACAGTGGATTTGTTGTGGAAATGTTGGGGCTCAGGGAGCAGCCTTAAGGAGCAGCAGCTCTGGCTGTGGGAGTGGGACACGGGGACAGGGAACATGGGGACAGGGGGACACAGGGACTCACCGTGTGCTCTTCATATAATCCTCCTTGCTCTCCTTCTTGCCCCGCTGTCGTGGCTTCAGGTTTTGGAGGGTGAGGGAATGCATCTGGGTGCACCACTGGGACAGCATGGCCAGGAACTGGGGCACAGGGTGGCAGTCACTGCCAGGGACACCCCAGCACATCCCACACCACCCACCCTGGCTGTGCACACATGTGGCAGAAACAGGTGGAGGTGCACGCACGAGGCCGTGGCAGAACATGTGCCGTGAATTCATGGGTGTGACCACAAACTCTTGAGTGTGACCACAAACTCATGGGCGTGACCACAAAAGCACATGCAAACCTGTGCTGGTGTGAACTCCTGTCCTCCAGCTTTTACCTGCAACACCTCCAGCACCAGAGCAAGCACCCACCTGTGTCCCCCATGACCATAATGGCACAACCATCCCGGCCACCAGGGAGATGCTCACCCAGCTCTACCCTTCTGGAAGAAAGGCTGTGCCCCAGGCGGTGCCACCCCCTCCCCAGTACCTTGGAGGAGACCCTGGCATTCTCCAGCAGCACCCGTGTCCACACAGCTGGGTGCCGGGCCACGAACTTCCAGTCCTTGCACACCTCGGCGGCGCGCAGCAGCGTCTTGGTGTCCAGGTAGGTGAAGATGCAGAAGAGAGCGGCCCTCATCTTGAGGATCTCGGGGCTGATCACCTCGCTGCAGTGGCCTGGGCTGCCCCGCTCCA